ATATATATATATAAATAAGTACATTACTACAATTTATATGAATATGTTGATAAAATTAATTTGTTATAATATTAATATAACATATATATATATATATATGATATCTATATTAATGTATTAAATTATTTTTATACATATGTGTGCATATAAAAGTTATCTTAAGTCGATATTAAAAATTCAAAATAGTTATTTATAATCATATCAATTATAATTAAGTTATCTTAAGTTGATATTAAAAATTCAAAATAATTATTTATAATCATATCAATTATAATTTGCTGAAGAGTTACAATTCACAATATTTTCAAAATTTAGGAAACAAAATCCGCCATAAAATTTATGTGGGAGACAAAATTTGTTACTTATTAGTAAAAGTTTAGACACACAAAATACAATTAAACATAATGTTCCATTAATTTTTAACGAAATATTAAGGATGAGGAGCAGAATTCGTAACATTCTCAAACCTTACGCTAGACAAAATCTGCAATCATATAGAAGTTTGGAAACCCAAATACAATTAAGCATTTTTTTCAATTAGGTAATTATCACGTGAAAGTGTGAAACTATGGGCGATTAGTTGTTTATATAAGCAACATCCTATAAATTTCATTTCTCTGGACAAAACACCACTCCACAGTTAAATATGAGCATATGTTCCATCATTCTTAATTATATATACTAATGATAATCTTAAAACTCAACAACGAGTCAGCAAATGAGAGTTTTGGTTTCCATGAGATGAAATTTAATTTACGTTCACGTAAGCAAGATTGGGTTCAACCATCAGTTATGCAGCTTCATATACATAATTCTAAGCCGAATTAAATTATATGAATTAATGAAACACGTATTACAAAAAAGAACACACATAAGTAACTTCGTTAATTCCTTGAACGAGGAGCTTTTGTTATTTTGGGAAAAGTTATTTTCAGCTGAAATTTTGAGGTAGAGATTAGATCATTCTCAAATTCTGGAACGCCACAGCCTAGATATATGTAACTTCTAAACAAGCTAAGCGAGGAAATCATGCATGAATGCAAGTAGAAATAATCATTTGAATTCTGTTACATCAAAACTATATCCTTTTCTTCTATTTTCCATGAATGAATGATTGGTGCCAAATTTTGCTTCCTTTCGCTGTCTTTACAAGATTAAAGTTCGAAAAATAGTTAACTGCAGCTTGACTTTGCCAATTACGCGATTGATCATTAAACTCATAAAATTCCTTTTTTTCAATTAAGATTTAAATCAATGAGATTGAGTGTTGGTGAGAAATACTATATATATGGTACAGTTGGGTATATAAGTTCATGAACTTTGGGTCACACAAGGAATCATTTAATTCTCAGATTAAGATGTTAAAGATGAGCTAATTTTTAGTATATTTAAGCGTATTTTGTTTACCAAAAATCATTAAATGTGAGTGATTCGATAAACTTAGTCTTGCATGTATCAATTTTTTCTTTACAGGATTAACGTGATAAGAAAAAGTCATATATATCCTTAATTAATAAATGAAATATAAATTTATTTTGTTTAATGAGCTTCACTTAACCTACAAATTATATGTGATTATGTGTTAGGATTTGTAGGTTAACAAAATTAGTTTTCTGATTAATTATTTTAAAATTAATATTAACTATTGTTTTTCTATTTTTGTATATTAATTAAATATTTAGATTATTATATTTTGTATTAGTATGCATATACATCTTTCTTTGTATTTGAATACTTTTAATTGTATGTAAAAAGTTAAAAATATTAATTAGTTGAGTAAATTACTATGACACTCTTCGAAGTTTTGTGAAATTGCACAAATGTTCCTTGTTTTGTTTACTTCTATATGATAACCTCTCTTAATTGTTTGAAAAATATTACATTAACATTCCTTATACATTACTTTAACCTTCCTTAGTTATTTGAAAAATATTATATTGTAACTCTTATAAGGAAATATTGTAAACCTTAAAAAAGTAGAGAATGTTAGTGTAATTTTGTAGAATTATAGGAATGTCCATGTAATTTACTATAATTAATTTTTATACTTTATTTAATGCCTAAGTGACGTAAATACAGTTTTTTTTTTTCTTTTCAATTTTACTATTTCATATTGCATGCACTTCCTTTTTCTTCAATCTTGTATTAAAAAAAAAATCAGTTTTTATCAAAATTTTCTAATTTCAAGGGTTTTTTTTTTAATCATCTAGGTATTTATATATAAATTATTTTATAATTGAAGGGAAAATGATATTCAACTATTTTTATACAATTTGTAAATACTATCTTAAAAAAATTACTGAAACATGCTGTAAATAAATTTTGGCATATGATGCTTGCTATGCCTATATTTAGTGTCAATATAAACTCACTTTGAGATTAAATGTAGCTTATAAGTTATGGGAAGTTTACAATTCTAAAAACATCAATACTCATTTGTTAGCTTCTCATCATTTTATTCTCCTTAATTTGTAGCTTATTTTCACGAGCTACACAGAAGAATAAAAAATAAGTTTACAACCAATTTTTCTTCTCTTTTTCCTTTTATTTTTTTAAGAGCAAACCATAATTCTTATTAAATCATATTCAGTATAGTACAAGATGTATCTATACAGATAAAAAAAAATACAAAATTACATTGAAATTACATTTCGGCCAAAGGGTTTACATAACTAGCGATTACTCTTTAAAAAAAAATGGTAAAGTGAAACCTTTGATAAGTATTTGAGAACTATCTAATACACTATCATTTACTATTCAACATCTATTATTTTATTTTATTTTTAAATAAAATACATAGATGAACAAAGTTCCTCTTTTTCAATAGTATAGAATAATGTAGGTTCACCTGCCACAAACGAGAGGACCATATGTAAACATTTTCATCTGATATGTATGATCGTTAATGTGGGCCGGACAGACAGAAAAAAATATAGTAAATGTGAAAGATGATGGGCCACACAAAACTGGCTGAAATAATAGTCCAGAAAAGAATATAAAGCACGACACAGGTAAACACAAAACCAAAGTCTTTTTATGCTTCTTAAACGTAGCATATACAATTTTCTTCAAATGCTGGATTTTCAAAACTATACAGAGTGGGAATAGTTCCTGCAGGATAAGCCAATGTCATTTTCAACTTTTTAAAATACTTGTAGACCACTACACACTATACAGTATAAGCTTTCTCAGACCCATGGATATATATTAATAGCCACTCAAAGGCTATAAAATAATACAAACTCTCTTTTATCACTCATTGTTATATTAGGTAATATATTTTAGGCCAAATATTATATTTGTGGGAGATCACATATTGTCATCATCAAGTTATTTCAAGCATTGTCTTTGTGTGAAATCGGTGGTAAATTACTTAATAATTGCTCTTTATGTGTTATATTTTCTTTTGTTGTGATTGTAAAATAAGTATCGTGTTTTTAGTTATTGCAAGTGTTGCGATTCATCCCAAGTCTCACATCTGTAAAATGAAGGAACATTGGCTAGTTTATAAGGGTGTCCACCATTCCATATAGTATGAGGCCTTTTGGGAAGGAGGGCCAAAAATAAAACCGTGCGAGCCTAGCCTATCGGGCCCAACAAGTGGTATCAGAGCCAACGGTTCATCGCTTGTCGTGCAGGCCTAGCCCAAAGCGGACAATATCATACTATGGTGGAGCAACAGGTGGACTATCGGGCCCAACAGCAAGTGTTTTGTGACCTATTATATCTATATATAGATTACATTACCTTTTATTATACTTCTTTTTAATAAATCTCTTTTGCTTAGCAAGAAAATATATATTTTAGGGTAAATAGTATTTTTTTCTAAAATTTCTAAAATTTTAAACTTATAATTTTAATTTTTTAATTAACTAATTTTATAAAATTCATTATTTTAATTCTATTATTAAACATTCATTCATTAGCAGTCAAAATTATAATTTAATTATAATTTGACGTTAAACAATTGAAATAATAATTAATATTTAATAATATTAAGTTAAATTGTATTTTTATTTTTCATCTGATAATAATAGTAAGAGAGTATGAATTGTGCAATCTAATTTACATGTTATTAAATATCCATCGTTAACTGTTAAGTCATTTATTTTAATTATTAATAAATGAATGTTGTCTTTTAGATGAATTAATAAACAAATGTTTAATGATAGATCTTGTATATTTTATAAATTAAAATTATCGAATTAAAATCGAAATCACATATCACGCTGAATTTTGCTATTAAATTATTTTATAATAAAATATTTTGATATAACTCACTTAATTTTAAAATTATTTTTGTTGAAAATCGAGTTTTTAAAAATGATATCTTTTAAAGTTATGAAAAAAAAAGAAGAAAAAAAGTAACCCAAACAATTGAGAATTTATTGCACGCATAGCATTCATAATTAAAAATATTCAAATATAAGTCACATATATAAATGTAAAATGAATTTCTATTAAAATGAATTTTAAAAAGTAAATCTCTTTTATAATCATTTAAAGAAAAAACTCACTCAAACAATTGATAATTTCGTTCACACATACCAATCATAATTAAAGCTGACACAATTTCAAAATAAAAAATGAAAAAAGTTAAAGCTGACACAAAAGTTTAGTTTGAAAAAAGAGGATCATGATTATTCGTGTCCATAGTTTTGAAGTGCATTTAAAATGATTCATTAAAGCAAATTATTTAATCTTTTTATTTGTTATATTTCGTTCTCCACAAAGAAAAGCGTGCCTTCAGGCTCAGGTAACTTTGGTCGGTTTCTGCCACAAACCTTGATCAATATGACACCTGTAATTGCCATACGCACACTCCACACAATCCCATAACTCATCAATTCTCGTCTTCTTCACCAACTACCAAAACAAGAAAAGACTATCTATATCAAAGTTTACTATTCTCATAATATTCTTTCTTTTAATCAAAACAAAAATTTCATTTCTTTTTTTCCTCTTATATCATACAAAAGAGACAGGAATTAATCGTAGACCATACCTTACAGCTCGACATGTTTTATCCTCTCAAAAAAACAATTTTACAACAATTTACCTTCATCATGGAATTGGAAATGCTAGTAAACATGAACATCTCCTACCAAACCTTGGTGGGGTTTGGCACTGTGTTTCTTAAACCAATCATTCTAATATCAAGAGGCCCTAGAACAATAATTGAGTATCATATCATTTTGGGTGCTTGTTTTCTCATTATTTATCGTGGAGGAGGCTCTCTTGTGAGATTATTTTAACAAAAATTGGAAACCAAGATGATAGAAAATAAGAAACTGCTCAAATTTCCCTATTTAGTTTTTTCACTTTACATTACAAAAGGGTACAGACCTACTACATAGCAGAATCCATGGATTTAAGCCCCAACCCATACACTTCCGGATTTTACAAATCAACCCCCATCTTCCTCCCTTCTTTCCTCTCTCCATTTTTTAGTTTATTTGTTTTTCTCCATCCTAACTGGATAAACATTACAACCTAAACGTTTAATTTAACAACCACCCACCCTCCACAGCCACAAGACCTCACAAAACATAAACTACTCCAAACTTCTTTTATTAACACTTTCGCCCCCAACTTCCCCTAATTCCAGATCCCCCCCTCCCGTTTAAAAAAAACACGGTCGGGTCGGGGCTCCGAAGCCGGTAGGGGCGTAACGAAAAAGAGTCTAGATTAAACCAGGAAGAACAAGGGAAGACAGAGAGAGGCCATCGTCACAACCGGGGCCGGCTCATTCGAGTCTAAGCAGACGCCTGAGATCCCGCGTGGCGGAGTCGTCCACCGCCGCCTGCTTCCTGAAAAAAGACGGCAACGGAAGCGCGCTGGGCGACGGCGAAACCGCGAAGGCGGACCCGGCGTAGACCGGTTTGAAATCGGCGATTCGGATCTGCTTGGGAACCATTTCCGGGTCGGGTCCGAGCCTCTGCGTTCCAACGACAACCAAGGCGTCCCCTTGCTTCTTCAAAGGCTGGGTTTTTAGATTCGAATCGAGGGACTCCCCCCTCCGGAGAATGGTAACCTTCTCCATGAGCAACCTCGGAAGCCTGGAATCATCGGAGCTGGGTTTTGGGTCGACGACCCGTTTCCTCCGGGCGCCCCTGTAAGAGAAGGCATTATTTGCGGCGTAGTTCCTCCGGCGGGAGATGAAGGGCGGTGGAAGGCCGATGCGTTGGGACAAACAATCTTGCGGGCGCAGAAGCTCCGTGCCCATGGTTAGTAAATTAGAGAGGAGAGAAAAGGCGCGTAGATCTGAGGGCGAAGGGTGTGGTTGAGGATGTTTGTTTGTTCCTTGTTGGTGTTGTTGTCCCTCCTCTGGAACAAGGAAGAGAAGGGGGGTAATATCGGAAATGAAAGAGGGGTGAGTCTGTTTGTTAAGGGAGTTGGGGGAAGGCCCATATATAGAGCAGACTGCAGAGGTAGATAAATATGAGAGAAAGGTGCGCGTTAAGAGAGAGACACTCTCTTTCCGTTAACGTTACGTTACCCTAACGCCGTTACTTCTCTCTCTCTTTCCTCCAATTTTCCCTTTCTTTTTCTTTCTATTTTCTCTATCTTTTTTCTCTTACCATCACCTCTAACTCTAACATCTAAAATAACACAATTTATCTATATTCTCGCTACATTTTTACCACTGTATTAAATTAAGTTTAATAATGAATGAAAATGCCACGTACCCCACCCGTCCTTCAATAAAATATTATTTTAATGTTTTTAATATTGACCTCACCCACTTAAATATACACCATTTTTCTGGTACACCATTACTCGGGTTATTACTCACCATAAATCAACCCACGTTACTTAACACAAGTAGACAACTAGCATAGTCAAAGTTTGTATTTTTTTTAATTAACTTGTTTAAGATTAAAATTTTGATTTTAAATATGTTTACTGTCTTTAAATATTATTTTAAATGATGAATACTCCGTAAAAAAATAAATAAATCATCTGAGGATACAGACTTTTTGTTTTATTTTTTATATCTTTTTTATATTTACTGCCGATAGTAATGACTAATCTTCGAGGTACCTCAAAGAATGAGATAACTAGCCTCAAGATTTAACGCAGCTGTATACATAAAGTAGGATTTGAACCTCTGACCTTGTTTAAGTATAGATCAACTTTGGGATTTTTTTTATTTTTTATATTCTTATATCAAGAATTTCTTCCCTCCCAGTCGGTTCATTGTATTAGTGACTCGAGACTTTCAAAACGATATAGGATGAAGAGGGGCCTCAAATAAGGATTGGGGGAAATTACCTTCTGTTAAAAGTTTTCTTGTACCTGCATAGTGTCAGGTATTTAATTATTTAAAAATAATAATTATTTTTAATTTTGTAATATGATTTTAAATCAATTTTTACCGATTTAAAATATAAAATTTATAGTATTAGATTTACATTATTGAAAGTAATTAAATACAATTGACGCTTGAATAGAAAGGAGTTATAAATAAAGTGAGAATCATTTGAAAATATATTTCATGAATAATTAAAAAATAATATGAAATTATAATTTTTGTTATTTTCATTGTTTTTATAACATAAATGGTTTGGACTTCAACTATATTTAATAATTTTTATATAAATAAATCTTATAAAATAAATTTAAAATCTTGAATTAGTTAAAAAATAATCTAAAAAGATTAAATTGATATAAATTTAAAAGATAAATGATCAAAATAAACATTTAAAAAATAAAAGACCAAAATGAACATAAAAATAAGGTAAAAAATCAAAAATATAATTTAGCTCATTATTTTATACTTTTCTTTATTTTTTTTTAAATATCTCTCATAATTATGTAAGCTTTTAAATAATTTGTTGGATTTTTTCTTCTCCCGTCCTATGTGGAGAACAGACTAAAATGTGTAATTTTATTATGTCTCATTTAATTAAATAGAGAGAAGTTGGATATGAATTATGAGTAACTTTATATTGAGAAAGAATGATAACTAAATATAAATAAAAATAAAGAAAAAAGAGAGTTGATTATTCAATTTACATATTTATTTAGTAAATATTTTTAAGTTGCAATTAAAAATTCATTCACCGTTAGATTAGACTAATTTTTAGATAATAAACTAGAATAAATTTCAAAAACTCATAGAAAAAACCAGAATCAAAAGACAAAAGAAAAAGAAAGATTCTGAAAACGTTATCTTAAGAATAGATGAAAGATCTACGTACTCAAATTTAGCAACATTTTGGTAAAAACACATGTTGATATATAATTACTTAAAAACACATATAAATGAATGATATGAGGCTAAAACTTTTTAAAAATACTCTAAAAAAAACACAACATTGCTACTCTTGACATATCAAACCAAACCTCGAAGATTTTCCTCGTAAAAAGAGTGTTGAACAGATTTCTTAAGTTAAAATATGACTACAACTTGACACCTAAACATATAGCTGTCATTGCAATGCGTAAAACTCGAACAAACATTCTAAATTCAACTCATACCAGTTTTAGTAATTAAAAGGATTCTTCAATTTAAATAATTTGCGCACAACTATTAATTTAATGCAAGCGGCTCCACTTTTTAATGGTCAGGATAAAAAATTAATGAATACAATTTTTAAAAAATTAAATTCAACTCATGCCAGTTTTAGTAATTAAAAGATTCTTTATTGTCAATTTTGATATTTATTTGACAATTTTAAAATAAAGAAAGAGAATTCTTTGTCTGTGATTTAAACATAAAAAATATAACTTTTATATTAAATTTATATAATTACATTATCATGTAAAATAATATAAAATATAAAAATTATATTATTAAATAAAATTAATTTATTATTAATAAAATAATTAACTAAATCTTCATGCATGACACACGCTACACAGATTACTTATATATACTAGTTTTTTTCAAGGGGAACAACACTTATTACGGGTAGCATCACTTTAAATAAAGGTAAGATCCACTATACCAAAAAAATCTCCATTAGTTCGAGCAACATAATTAAGGGGGCGAATCGATATAAATATAGGATCAATTCAATCATTATTACACATAAAAAAATATGCTACTATTTATTGGTTTAGGAAATCTAATGAATAAAAAAGTTAATACAATAAAACATATATAACATTAGAGTTCTGTTTTGTATTTATATTATAAATTGTTAAGATGTAAGTAAAGTTCTATATTATTTAAATAAAAAGATGAACATAAATTTATATATACATAATTGTCTTTATTAATAAAAAGGTCTTTTGGGTGATATAATATCTTAGCGATTGCCACCTTTTCTTTTTCCTTCACTCTTTTACCAAGTCTTTTCCATTTTTGTAGCTACCTTTGACTTGGTTCAGGATTCAATTCACTGTCGAGTTTTAATAACTTATTTTTTAAAGAAATAATAATAATAATAATAATAAATGGTGATTATATATATATAAACAAGTGATTCCCTATCCCCACCTGTCTGTTTCAATAATTATCAGTAGAAAAAATAAAAACAAAAATAGTTGGAACAAATAAAATAGTTTTCATAAGGTGTGCTGTGGGGTCGAATAAACCCTTCTCCTAATAGCTAATTACTAATTGCAAAGAATATGCTCTATGTGTGTTTTTAGTCTCCTTTTTCCTGTACAGTTTTGGAACACGGAATAGAAAATAATTCTATGGGAGATGTGGAAACATCCTCCTACAAAGACCACATAAAGGAAGGGACACGTGGATAATTGAAAGGAACATGCTATCATTCAATTCAAACAAATATAATAACAAAATTTGGATTGGATTAACTTAAACTTTTCAATATGCTAACTTGTTTACTTCGTCAACAAAATAAGGTGGGATGGTCAATCTCTCACTTTTTAATTATTTGTAAATGTTAATGACGAACATTTTATAGTTTATTATTATTATTATATAACTATCTTTTTTAATGGAAAATTCTACCAACCCATCAACTCACTTGTTTCTTATGTATTTTGGCAAATGAATCTGTTACAAAAAGCGAGTTAGGAGTTTCCAGTCATCTTACCAATGATTTATTATTACATATTAAGAGTAATAGAATAATGTTTTAAGTTGAAAATGATTTAGCTTAATTAATGAAAAAGTTTATTTCTCCTCAAAATTTTCTCAATTTTGAAAGAGATTAAATTTGAGTGACGAAAAGTTTCTTTTCCTGGGTCAATTCAATTTAAAAATAAAAAATGAAAAAAATCAGACTAAACATATTACTAAGTCCTCGTAGATCCATTTGGATAGTCTGGGACTTGTGAGTTGCCGTCTTTTTGACAATAGTTCATTAGTGGATACATTTTTTTTTTGAGGAAATTTTGTCAATCATAAAATTATTATTATTTATTTAATATAAATAAAAATCAAATTTTATGTATAAAATAATGACGATTACTTTTTTTTTTCTTTCAAAATAGTTTAAAAGAATATGTTTATATAAACAACAAATTAAATATATTTTAGAAGATTCAAAAGAATCTATAAAGAAAATTTAGAAAAGGTAAAAGATTTCAAGCCACTTTTTCTGTAGCAAATGAGCTTCACTATTAACTATTAAGGAGGCTCTTTTTTTTTTTGTCCATGGTGAATTTGTAGTCACACTTTCCAATAATAATAGTAAAACCAAGCCAAAATTAAAAGTTAATGTACAAAATAATCCAAAAGCATGCAACCCATTAAAAATTGAGTCACGATAAACAATTTTTTTTCTATACAGTAATAATATACATATAATAATTTTATCATTTTTTTATTATCTTTCTATATGAAATAGATAAAAAAAAATATGCTGCACAAAGATTATTTCCCTTAAAAATTATGCAAGACATTTACATGGCTACCTAAAAATTCAATATATAGTTAGAGCTGTCAAAACAGGTCAGTTTGACTCATTTGACTCGATCCATCTTAATTCACTTTTTAAGTAGGTTGACCTGACCCAACCCACCATATTAAATAGTTGTTGTGTGACGTGTTTGATCTTGAAAAAAAAGCTTTTACACGTATTAAAAAGTATTTTTTTATTTATTAAAATAAACATAAGAAGATTGTTTTAATAGAAAACTAAAGTGGCATTAAGGTATTACCAAATATCTTAGTTGCTAATATGATCATTTTTAAAATTTTTATTTGGGTTAAATATATTTTTAGTCCCTCAAATTTAAGATAAATTTATTTTTGGCCTCTCAAATTTAAAATTATTATTTTTATTCCTTTTAATTTCAAAAAATCTTATTGTAGTTCTTATATTCAAATTTTGTTAAGAAATTTATCAAACATTATTACATAAAATCTACCTATTGGTATTTTTATTAGTAAAAATATCATATTAAATTTGATTGATATTTCATAACTGTCTTAATTAGTCACTTTTAAATATGTTATTGGTGACCTAAGGGACTAAAATAAGATTTTTGAAAATTACAGGAACTAAAAATAGCAATTTTAAATTTAAGGGACCAAAAATAAATTTATCTTCAATTTGAGGGACTAAAATTATATTTAAGCCTTTTTATTTTAAGCATGATGGGAAATCAATATCTCACTTATTATAATTGTAAATCATTCAAAAAGCAACAATGCAAATACTTTAGATCCGACAAACATAATTTCAAAGGTTAGTGAATATACAACGTGTGAGTAAGCACTAGATTATAGGTTTAACTTTAACTATACTAATTATTAATAGTTAGGCAGTAAGAAATGTCCTCATAATCCTGAAATCTTGACATGATGAATGACCTACCTTTGACAAGTGGAAAAGATAAACTTTAGTTAAAACATTACCTTTGTTTTAAAAAAAAAATGTAATAGCAACCTACACTGATGACAACATCTTAGATTTTCTAATATTGATCGAATCACATACCATTACGAATGTGAAAATGTGCCATCAAATGCTCCTAATTTGGTTTGAAATTTCAAGCATGACGTGAAAAGATCTGGTCAATGATTGTACACCAGCTCCAAACCAAAGATGAGAGGAACGCTTAGAGAAAATCTACTTGTTTTCTGGTTCAAAATGATCGACCAAAAGTTATGGTCACAAAGAAGTTGATGAGCAATCAGATGCATTCACTAATGGGCTTTTGTTATGGGTCAGTAATTATATGCGATGATGAATGGCCCCACTAAATGCAGGAAAAATGTCAAGTCTCAAATGAAGGTGACACAAACTTTCAACCCCCACAAAACAAGTCATTATTAGCATTGACAAATCATTGTTACGTTTATCAACATCTACACATTTGGGCCATCAGGCCCTTTATTCAATAAAATAAAATAATAACTACCCATCGGAAAGCCCAATGGACGATTTTGTGTTCAGTAAGGCCCGCCCTTGGCATTTGGGTAGGCAACAAAATGAAATGAAGTATGAACAAAAGAGTGACGTCAACAAATTCTTGCGTTGTGAGTTTTGAGTCACAGAAGTTACAGCCAATATCGTCTCTCCTTCAAGTCCTATCCTTTCTCAAACGTCACGAAGCCACAAGTTTAATTCGGCAACAATACAAACAAATTCATAAAATAAAAAATAATGCACGATAAAGATAAAACGTCTTCAGAGACACTCATCCCAGTAACCAACCCTTCTCAGATTCATGAACCCAAAACTAATTTGAACAAAAAGTTGTACCACGTTAGCATGTAACAAAGAAAGAAAGATGTTGGTGGTCGAATCGAGTGGTTCGAACGTGGATATCCCCGAGGAGTTGCTAAAAGTTCTACCGTCTGATCCTTACGAGCAACTCGATGTGGCGCGCAAGATCACCTCCGTTGCGCTGTCGACACGTGTCAACGCGCTCCAATCAGAGTCGTCGGCTCTACGCGCCGAGCTCACCGATAGGGACAGGCTCATCGCGGAGCTTCAGGCTCAGCTGGAGTCCGTCGACGCCGCTCTCTCCGAAGCCGCCGATAAGCTAGCTCGAGCCGACCAAGACAAGGTTGGAACCGCCCCCTGAACCCGGTTCACTTTTCAATAACCAATTCTTTTATTTATTTTTGAGATTATTGCAGGAGAGTTTGGTGAAGGAGAATGCCATGCTTTCCAACACAGTGAGAAAACTCACCAGAGATGTCTCCAAGGTGCAACCAAATTATGACTTTTCATTCTAATTCTAACTTTGCTTCAGCGATTCCATTTAATTTTTTTATTTATTTTTGCATGCAGTTGGAGGCTTTCAGAAGGACGCTCATGAAATCAATCCGCGAGGATGAAGATAATTCCGTACGTTAATTACCTATTATTATACAAAAATATTATCAATACATTGTTATTAAGATTTATAATATATTTGTTCATAAATATATATATATATATATATCATATATATATCATATTGCGTGACGTAACATTTTAAATTAATTAGGCACAGCCGGACCTTGCGACCAAGTTACAGAGTCAAGGAAGTATCACTTCCACGTCGCAACTTGGAGGTACTTAGTTTCAACTCTTTTTGCGTAAACCACATATCACATTTGAGAAATTATTATATTACATGCTCTAAAATTACGGTAGTTTTGTACGTGACACGTAAAATAATTTTAAATATTTCCAATAATTTCTCGTATATGTTTACATAATTTGTTGATCTAAATTAATAAATAACATAGTATTACTTCACATTAGATAAATACGTTACTTTTTGTGCTAAGTAGCAATGTGCCTATGTTAATTGGTTAAATAACTTGTATAAGCAAATTATGCATGCAAGAATTTCTCTGAATCAACATACATACTTGAAGTCCAGATTAGATGGTCTAATGTGAATTTGAAGAAGGGAATAATGTAATGAACATACAAACTTTTTTTTTGCTCTTAGTCTAGTTACAACATAAATTTGGCTGAGAAGAGGGAATCCCCAATATGGCATTTAATCTTGTTGTGAATAATCTTCAAGCAAATCAGCTTAATTATTTTAAGCTTCCAATTGGATGCTAGTGCTCCAATTTGACGGAGAGGAAAAGGATTAAGAAAAACAACCGTTTGACAGTTTGAGCAGTATTTTTCTCATTTGATTGCAGATGAAGATGCTTCAACTCTTTCTTCAAGATCTTCTTCAATGCGAATGAACACGTCTGATACGGGAAATTATTTTGCAGAGGATGGTGAATCTGATGGTGAGTACTGAGTACTGTATCATCTAATGGGGCAACAATAGTATACATAGTCATAGGGTGCCTCTCTTTGGTTTGGTATTGGTGAAAAGTTAACAAAAACATGTTATGCTATCTTGACACGTGTTGTGTATTTCCAAAATTGCAGCAGGGTCAAGATCTCGAGCATCACATAATCTTCTCTTAGCATCTCAAACTAGCACTCCTCGTATTACTCCCCCAGGTTCCCCTCCTAGCATGTCTGCGTTTGTATCCCCACAAAGAACATCTAAGCCTGTGTCTCCAAGGCGCCATGCAGTTTCCTTTTCAACCTCAAGGGGAATGCAAGATTCTTCAGCTTCACAAACGGGTTTGCTGACTTCCTTCATATCCTCCCTTTTCTTGCATTGCATTGCATTTCTTCTACCACATTTTTCAAAATGACTCATTCATTCACAAGTTTCTCTGTTGTCCCAGGACGAAAAAGGGTGGATGGAAAAGAGTTTTTTCGCCAAGTCAGGTAAAATCGCTGGTGTTAGAACTTATTTTTGGCATATCAGTGTGTGTCAGACAAAAGCTAAAGACCAATCTCTGCAGATTCATTTAAAAAGATTGACTTCTTCCATTAAATGTTTTTCCATACACGGACCATGAATTTGTGAAATAGATTCAATCTCTTTTTGCTTCTTAAAATCTAAGTAAACACAAATGTTAATTAGCTAGCACAATTGCACAAATGTTACTTGTGTTTCCATTGATACTTCATTCATTTTCTCCTGTGTGTTATTTGTTATTAGGGGTCGTTTGTCTTATGAGCAGTTTGGTGCATTTTTAGCCAATGTTAAGGAACTGAATTCTCATAAACAATCCAAAGAGGTAATCATTCTGCTTCCTTCTCCCTACCCTGTATCTAAATTTCAGTTAATTGACACTTGTGTTTGTGAAATTGCAGGAAACACTGCAGAAAGCTAATGAGATATTTGGGCCTGAAAACAAGGACCTCTATACTATATTTGAGGGATTGATAACGCGCAATGTCCATTAAGCATTGCATTATCTCTGCCTTGCGAAAAATTTATTACTCAAGTTTTGTTCCTAGTTTGTAACAACTGATATTTCTTCTACTTTAGCAGCTTTTCCTCATTGTAATTACGTAGTACTTAATGCTTTTATAAAGTTTTCTCTGAATCCCCTAGCTGTAATTTTGTATACTTTCATTACTGTGTTTTTGGTTCATCCAAGGCTAAAACATGGCGAAAATAACCTATCACCTTAAACTACGTAGTTTACGCTAGATCAAGCATATAAACAAAATAAGTTTGAACAAGTAAATTTTTTTTAAATCTATTTAACTAAACAAATTAGATTTAAAGTCATTTAAAAAGCTTTTTAAGTCTAGTTAGATGTAATAAATATATATAATAAAGTACACGTCAAGCTTTTTAAACTTTTCAAAAAAGCACGTCAAGTTTTAAAATTCAGGATTTAGAAAAATACGTGCTCAAATCTCATAAAGTCTGACTTCTCTAACATGTTTTCATTCTTAATGTTGATTTATCTTATTTTATTTTAATTAATGATCATTTATTTTTTTTACTAACCTCTTTACACCAAGCAAGCATTAAAATGTTAAGCAATTATATTTTCAATACAAAATCATAGATCCGAGAAAATGCAAGACTTGGCATTCCCGTAGATTTTTTATAATACGAAATATATATGCTTAAAAATTAATCTACTTTCTCGATTATTAGAATCTATCACGTGCAAAAGAAGGATGCCGAAGCTGGTTGGTCTCATAACAAAGAACAAATCATCATTGATTTTCCTTCAATTTTTTTGTTCTGACTTGCTTCAAACCGAGACATTTGATTTTCTCATTAAGGATGGCTGGCTTTATATGCATCTAAAAGCAAGGCTTTTATAAACATGGGATTCAGATAGTACTTATAGCTAGGATTATGAATATCTTATATGGTTTCTTATTTTATTCTTTATTTGCCTGATTAATTATTTTCTCTATCATCTATTATTATTTATTTCTCTCTCTTTAATAATATGATTGATAAAATAATAATTAATAATTATCTTAAATTTTCTGTCAAAAAAAATTGTCTTAAAATTTTAAAATAACAGAAACCAAAATTATCTTTATGAAAAATCAGTACTAAAAGTGTTTAATAAAACTAGCTTATAAGTCATAACATAAGAACTAAAAAACAAATTGAATCGAAAATGTTCAATAAAAATAAGTTTTAAGCTAGTAGATAAAGGTTTGTTAAAATTAAAATAACTTCTCCACTAAATTACAACTAACTTGAGTTTAAGTTAAAAATAAGATCTCAGAAAAATTAATAGGAGAGATTTTAAAGAAATTTATCCAAATTAAACAAACTTTATATGTAAAATGACATAAAATAACATTTTAGTTACTTGAGGTAAAAAAGTTTCAAATTAATTAACAAGGATAAAAACAATAAAAAAAAAAACCCAAAAGAAATTAGTAGCTAGCCTATAAACTAGCTTATTATTTTTTTTTTTGCAGTAAAAAAAAGAACTAGCTTATTTTCATAAGCAATATGCAACTTATAAAAATAAGTTAAAAATTATTAAAATAGACTTATACATCAAACAAGTTTGATTTAGTCAAACTAACTTATAAGTTTTTTTCTATACCTTGCCAAACAAAGTCTTAGAATAAAACATATTCTTCCCAAACTTTTCAATATACAATTTTTTAATTAAAAAAAAGTGTTTGGTAATTTTTCGTGAGCTGATTAAATTTTGCACAATATTGTTAATATAGGTTGGATAGATATCATTTTGAATCGAAGCTATAAATTAACCAAAGCCATTTCTTATTATGGCAAAAAAAAAAAAAAAAAAGAAGGTGTCATTGGTTGGCTTCACGTCCACGTGCGAAAGACGTGGGAGGAGGGAGAGATGTTGCTCATCCCTACATGCAACTTCACAAGCCTTTCTCCAAAGCCATAACCTTTATTCATTTAATAATTTTTTTATATGAAAGGAGAAAAGAAAATTGAGATTTGCATTGAGAAGAAAGAAAGAAAGAATGAGCAACTAACAAAAGCCGTATTTAGGGCATAAAAAACCGGTGTGAAATAATGACAACGTTGTAGTATTATCATAGGAACACAACAATCATGGCAACCGCTACTTTCATGTCTCTTCATCCATCTTTCTCTTTCTCTTTCTCCTTCTCTTCTCTCCCTCTCTGACTCTACATGCGTGCACGTCATTCCCGTGGCCACCCTTTTGGTTCTCCGAAACTCGTCTTCCCTAGCTAGCCTTGGCCACCATGAACGAAGAACGAGAACCACAAGCTTCCTCCAGGTAATATATCAACCTTCCCTAC